GTGCCAATTCGGCTGCACATGTGTCAGTGTCCGAGTTCGAATCCAATGAGTCGGAGTTCTGTTGCGGACCAAGTCCGTTGGTCCGTTACGGACATTGCGCGGAGCAAAGATGATCCGGGATGCGACTGTCGGTGGTGAAGATTGGGCTGGGTCGTAACCAAACCTCATTAACTGAAATGATCCCATTAATTTTAGAATAGCCTAGGCTGTACCATAACTGATCAGCCACTAACCAAACATGAGACATTTCCATTCAACACAACATAATCTAACTCAGCTCAACCTGGCATTCCGCATGGTCGGCACTGGAATAATGGTAATCGCACGGACCATTACGGGGTCCAAATGACCTTGGGTAGCCGAGCAGAAGCGAAACGAACAGAGCCCTGCAGCCTGGGGTGTGATTAAGGTTGTGTGATCGGGCTAGAAACAGGGCGTTGAGGACGTTACTGAGCTCCATCCAAGCTCCTCTTAAGTCTTAGTCCGGGTATGAGTCACAGGATTTTATCGTTTCTTTGAGATCAAGTCTGATGCGCGCGTATATGCGCATGTGGGTTTGAGAACGTATTAAAATCGAAAGCCACTGGTTTTACCCAGTCAGCAATCTGCTTTGATGAATTCCGGAGAAAGCTCGTGAAAGCTCCAGAACTTGAAACTTGTAAAATTCAATGTTTCCCAAACAGTCTTAAGAAATGCTTGCTTCCCCAAATTTCCCCGATTTTGCCCCTGCTACCCGCCACTGTTCGGGATTACCTTTCGCCTCCTGGACTGTCAGGTTTGGGATTGGCTTGGGGAAAATTGTTCAGCGCGCGTGATCGCCACAGGCAGCTCAGGGGACGCTCGGGATTCCCTCTGCAGCTGTGTTGGGGAAAGGCTGCCAGATCTCGATCGAGATGGAACATTTTTCAGTGCGTAATCGCCGTAGGCAGCTCGGAAGCGCTCCGCACGCTCCACTTGGGGAGCGTTGGAGAGTGGTCCGCGACAGACTGGAGATCCCAAACAAAGTATTTTACTTTCGGAATTAATCTCAATCATTCCCCAACCGGAGAGATGGGGAATGGTCGGGACATCCCAGTTTGGATCAGACCGAGATTGCTGGCTGGGTAGCTTGTTAATCAGGGTGTGAAGCCTGTTCATCTTTTAAACGAATCGATTCAATGTTGGTAAAACTTTCAGAGGTCATCAGTCCGTAACCGATTACATGCGATTCATTGGGCCCATGCCAGGCTAGCACTTACCAGACCATTCTATAAACACTTCGTTCTAGAAGAATCTGGCTGATGTTCTCTCCCCACGCACACACACATGCACGCCGTTTACATCGCAGAGAGACTCCAGCCATGATTTTGAGGCATGCCTGGCACCCGTGCCTACGGGTGATAACCATGCGTAATTTCAAAGTACCATGTGTAGTATGGCGCCTTATAATGACCTATTTAAAAATAGCAATGCCTCATGGAATGCTTAGGACCACGGTAACTTACCAATATGCGCCAAAGCAATGCTCTCAATAACGTGACTTTCACACAGTTTGTCCGCTCAGTACTCCATGCTCCGTAGCACCGGCACACGAAAGGCCGGTGATCCGGTCACGTCAGACAGACGAAGGCCGGTGATCCGGTCACGTCAGACAGACGAAGGCCGGTGAGGCGAGAACAGATCAGCTGACACCGAGCAGCCGTGGCCAGCGCTGGCCAGACTGGCAGATATAAAGCACCAGACGAACCAATTTTGTATTCTTTGTCAAGGCTACATATTTTAAATTGCTTCTGGATCGAAGTGACGGATTGTTAAGTCCCTACAACATTTCAACATCACGAGCAATTTATGTCGCGCCATTTGTTTTGTTCAGCGCCTTGTCACAGAGGTCCTAAACCACATACCGCGACGCCAGAATGCAATGTAAACATGCCGTGTCTGTGCGAAAATAGAAAAACGGTTGCTCAGCAGCCCGATATTGGTTCTGGCTGGACCGATTCCTTGAGCCGAGGTGGGTCGTCTTCGACTGGACGGCGCTGCTGCTTACAGTGTGTGCAGGCCAGCAGTTGCTGCTTACAGTGTGCGCAGGCCAGCGGCTGCTGCTTATAGTGTGTGCGGGCTAGCAGTTGCTGCTTACAGTGTGTGCAGGCTAGCAGTTGCTGCTTACAGTGTGTGCGGGCTAGCAGCACCTATGCACATGCATAGTTCACGCCTTGTTCTCGTTCTAATCGCAGTTTTAGTCATGTGTGGCTTGTGTACAGATTATGTATTATTTGTGTAATGTTAGTGCGTATCACCCGCAGCTTATGCATAGTGGTTAGCTGCAGCTTACACGAGGTGATTACTCGCAAGTTATACTGGTACTGCAGCTTAAACAGACATACAGTCTAAATTCTGCGCACATATTACTCACGTTCTGTACGTGAGTCAGTCGCCTTGTGACGCTCGGCTCAGACTCCAGTGAGCACGTCACATTGTGACGCTGGGCTCAGACACCAGTGAGCACGTCACATTGTGACGCTGGGCTCAGACACCAGTGAGCACGTCACATTGTGACGCTGGGCTCAGACACCAGTGAGCACGTCACATTGTGACGCTGGGCTCAGACATCAGTGCGCCTATCACACATATTTTTGCCGCTTCGGCAGAGCACAACCGTCCGAGCACGGACTGTGTTCTTGGGTGCCGGCCGTGGAACCCGACGTGTTGACCGGGATTTGCAAGCGCGTTCGACGGGAATCACTTCCAAGGCCGTCGGAAATTTCGAAAGATCAGACAGGATTGCGATGACGTTAGTGGGGATCCACCGACAAACCTGTTATGGATCGCAGTGCAGGAGCGTCACGCGGTGGCCAGATGAACGCCCTTCGATCTTTCAGGGCTGTCTGTCAGCAGCCACATGCACTCCCGACAGTGATCTCACGAATGCCTGTCATGGGGCACAACTATGTATGTCCGAGATTGAAGCGACTTGCAGTCACAGCGGAAATGCATGTCTGGATTCTGGGATCATGGGAACGTCCGTCAGTGAAAGCAAGTACGTGCCTTTAGTTCGAAGCGAATTTTAACATCTGGAATGAGCCTATGACGCAAAATAAGAAAACGCTAGGAACAGACAGAGCAAGCGATTCTAATCTATTTCAGATATATGCCCATTTATTCTCAGCTGATCTTCCTTAGTTTTTACTTCAGGGCTGGTCGGTCTTGGTGCATCGCACAAACGTGCCCTCAGGGCATCGCTGTCACGTGTATGATTGGCACCAGGCTTAGATGCACCGCTCCGTCTATTTGGAGGTCACTGATTTCAAGATATCTTCTTTATTATTTGTCATCGAACTGTTCAGCCTACAATGAACCACTGCAACCGTCCGAAAAGTCATGCATGAGGACATTGTAACCAATGACTGTCTGGATGAATGTCATAACGAGAACGAGATGCTATAAAAATGACAGTTGCACACAGAGCTATGGCCCAGAAGGAGTATAAAACGGCCATTTTTACAGTGAGGGAACCATAACGGCCTTACTTCGCAGCACTCTGCCCTCAACACGAATGCATTCAGGCTAGGAAGCACAAGTACATGCAATTTAAATCATGAATGCCTTCTGAGCGTGACAGTGCATTGCCTGTCATCTTGGCTTTGCCGCGAGATAACAACATTTATGCATGTCATCAACTAACAACGGGCTTCGGTACTCTGTTAGCCAGGAGGCAAATGTAAGTGACGCCGAGCCAGCCACGAAGCGTTTTCAAAGAGAGTAAAATAATGGCATGTGTAGCTGATGATACCAACTGTCTTACGCAGCGGGCTAGGAACACATGTGATGTTCGGTGATGTTCACATGAACACATGTGATGTTCGGAACACATGCGATCATCGCTGTCAAACGTACCGAAAATAAAACACACCAAAAAGCACACTAAAATTTCAGTTGTATGTCTGTTAAGGCACGCCAGAAGACAACTGCACCATTTACAACAGGTACGCCTGTCAGAGACCCCAGGACGCATAATAAACACCACAGGGCCATGCTCGGCGGCTCACTGGGATGCCAATGGAAGGTGCCAGCAGTGGCAGGCACCAAAGCAAACAACACTCGCCTAATGAAGCATTACCGCCCAATACGAGTGAGCGTACGTCCGGGAGGAGACGCGAGCTGTCCCCAGCGAACGCACCTGTCGAAGGGCGGCTGTGTCATAGCATTACACGACACGGAAGGATGCCAGAGCTCCTATCCCACGAAAAAGCCGAGACGAAGTTATCCTTTAAGTGCAATGATGCTGCTGGCGGACTTCGGATGGGAGCATCTGGCTTCGCTTCAGCAAGGACTCTGATCGCGGCACAGCCTATGCAGAGCTCCCTGAATACATTTCTTAAACAAAGCTATCCGCAGGGGACCACGTATAACTGGACTGGAGAGCGATGCATACCTATGTGTGCTGAAGAGGCTGAAACGTGACATTCATCTACAGCTAGCCAAAACGTAAAATGAATGCCGCAGTACTGAATCAACTGACCGTGGACATTGCTGCAGAAGCCAAGTATCGGGGGTCCTACACACTTGGCATGTATGTGGCGCAGTCACAAGCTTCAGTTGCCATGATACTGTCATTCGAGTGAGACGACGTGCACTGTTCGAGTGTGTTGCTGATGCATACATAAGGTGGCTCCAACCAAGTTGTTTAAGTCGTCATCCCCGTGGCTTTGGTGTAAGCTCAGCGCGACGCGCTTGCTTAACCCAGCACAGTTTCATTTTAACCAAAGGCAGCAGAACCAGCCGTGTTTTAGATCACCTATGTTTGCATTAAGGAAGCCAGGTATTATCAATCTCACTTAGTGGGACCATTTTGAAAACTTGAACCGATCATGAAACGATTAGTTTTGCCACAAATTGCCACAATTTTTTCCGTGATGAATGGCCAAGCCTGAATCTTGACTTGATACACAGGTGTTTATAACAGCCTTCCGCATGTTTTTGAGCCTAGCTGGGATTTGGTATTTTTGATCCATCGTTTACAGGTGGGAGACCAGATCCTTGACGTCAACAATCAAAGCTTTTTGGACATCACCCATGACGAAGCAGTGAGCATCCTTAAGTATTGCAAGACTCCTACGATGACCATTCGTCCCGTGGGAAAGGTAAGAATGATGCTTAGAACATGATTTTCATGCGGGTATATTAGTCTCATTCAACTCCTTTTTGTGACTTTTTTTCTTGACCGTGGCCTTCCACACATACCAAGGCAGTACTTGTTTGCGTTATAAACACACGATTGCTGCAACATATGAAATCTTAAAATTGATGTTTGAAGGTTATTCTACGTGTCGACGTGTATGTGAGCGTGATACCAAAGCCATACGCAATACAGGACGTGGGTAAACGTATTCCTGATACTTTCCGGTGACATAGCAAGAGTGCATTGCAATGTGACGGTCCAGGGCGGAGCGGCCCGACCTGACCTATGAGCGTTGCTACGTTTAATGTGCTCACTTTAAAAAAAAAATACATTGGCCATGATAATTCATACAGACAGCTGATGCACAAATGCCACTAACACTCTCTGATCAAAACTATGTGATCAGGTGTAAGAGTCGCTCATCTGGTATGGTCCACGTCCGTAAAACCATGTCATTTGGCCTCGCTAGAAAACAATGGTCTGTGTTTTACACAATGTGCATTCCACCTCTGTAGTTGCGCCGCAGTAAATATGTCCGCGAGAAGAACAAATTCGCCTGTGCACTTCACCATTGTAATACGTAATCATTACTATGGATTACCTATGCTACAAGTAAACCCGCCAATCTTCCTTTACAGGTGCCTTGTGCGTCTTACGCCTCGAATAGTGTGGATGGAAGGCTTCAGCCTGCAATATCGGACGGCAGGTAAGCTACCTGTCACCAAATTGCTCGTTTCATTTGCAAATTAGTGAACTTTACCAAATTAGTGAATGAAGTATGAGTAAAATTAGCAAATTTTGGTTAAAGCGTGAAAGGTCTGTAGTTTTGAACAATGTCAAGCCTGCAGCAATTAGCTACCCAATGTTTCGCAATTATGCATATTTCAAAAGATGCGCTAGAGTCTGACTCTTGTGACGTTGAAACGTTTTGTGCAAAGTGAATCAGCCGTGCATCAAAATGAGAACGTCTGCTTGGTCACCGACGTTGTTTTTGACCTACGTTATGACGAAAACCTCGTCGTTGGATCTGCTGTGATACATAAGCACCAGATCTCTCCTCCCCGTGCTTCCCTCAATCCGCGCCGGGCCGGCCAGAACTGTCGAGAGCGTTGCCTTTAGTTTTAGGATCGCAAAAACAAACCGGATAGACCCAGCTTACCAGGACCGGATAGACCCAGCTTATCAGGATCGCTAGTACGGCTTAGGTTTTCTTCTTTCTGCGAGTGTTTATGCCTAAGCCACACCGGATCACTGACCTGTAACAGGCCATGGAGAGGCGCGTCTAAAACGTCGCAGCTGCCATCACTCATTAAGCTTGCAACCATTTGCCATTTGTTACCATATTATGACATGACCTGTTTAAATATGCTTCACAATTGTGAGGTTTTAGAATTCGTCATATAAGTAAGAAAGACGCTGAGTTCCTCGTTTTTCGGCAATATGAGTTAGGTGTTTTTATGCCGATAATAATTGGCTTTAAACGCATCGGGAGGTACTGCCTAACTGACGTCATCGCGTATGCGTTGGTTCATGTGTTTTTCTCCCTTGCGCAAAGGAATCCTTATGTGGGCCAGAAAGGCCCTGCGGTCCTGGATTTTCAGCACTGTGACGTATGAGTTCTTATCGAGCATCAGAATGTCAGGGGTATTGGTTAAACGATGCTCATGACCATAAGCACAGTCGAGTCGAGTTTTGTCAATAAAGTCGGTGCTTACTTGAAGGTGTCGTTCGGCTGGCACCTTCCGTTTCTGTTATATTAAAGGGGAATTTTTATCAGAATAAGAAGTTCATAGAAGCTCAGAAGCTCAATCAGAATAATAAGCTCATAATTCCCAGATCGTATTGTTTTCGAAAACGTTTTCCGGAATTCAGGCGTCATTTAACATCAGTTACGGTGCAATAGTATGTTTTATCTTTGCCGGATTTGATTTGGTGTCATCTGATCTCAAGTCGTCTTGGAAATTCTTTTGAAAAGATGGAAATGCTTCTCGGGGAAGGGGAGGGGGCGTTGACCTAAGTGTAGAAGCAGCCTGTCCGTCGTTTCATACGCTGCTCCATCGTCACCCACGGTGATGTAATCGTGCGTCAGCTGGCCCGTTAACATTTACAAATATTGAAACGTTAACAGATCTGATCTTGCCACAGGTAGCAAATTGGCTCGACCTATTCTGAACTGCTCTGCGCGGTAAAAATAGTTATCAACACTCAATGATCTCTTTCCTAGCCAACTGACATTAAAGCACACAATTTGCGATTTATTGATCAGTCAGAAAGACAAATGCAAAACAAGCCCTTTGACTTGCTATGCCCTGTAGTTATCTCATTTTAACGGAAACATAACAAACATGATTTAAACCATGCGTTGCAAGCATTTTAAAAGCGTTCATTTTGCTCTGGCTGGTATAGGTGTCAATATTTTGAGGTGCGGAGGATTCCAGGTCGTTCCAAGCTTTAACCGGCCATCCGTTGGGGTCTCATCCCCACTGAAATCCCAATTTGACTGTTGGTTCCTTAAACTGCAGGCCCTCACATGCATTATTTCTTCCAGCTAACTTATCTGCTAGCCATTAGCTCGCAGTCATACCCACCCATCACCCTTTCATTATCAGTTGTACCCTCCCAGTACCATTTATTCATATGCTGCAATGCCTGGATACATTTCGTAGGTGCTAAAAAAAAAACAGCGGATAGAGATTTACCCCTTCGCGTTGATAATAGCCATACTAGTTTTTCGGGAGCAATCATGACGGAAAGTGCAGCTAGAAAGACTGTGTGATGTGCCTTGCAGCATATATCCCACGTTATTTGAGCTTTTCACCCATGCGAGCACCCGATCCCGAAGTTTCCCCGAAATATGTGTTCCGTTACCCATGAGACACGGGTACCCAAGGACTTAACCCATCGACAAACACGTTTTCGTTCAACCAATTCGTGAAGACTCTAATCCTTTGAATTCCCTGATTTTTTGGAAGCATACGACCGTCCTAGAACATGAACATGAGGCTTCTTATGAACACAAAAGCGAGCGGGGCAGCCAGCTCCTAGGCGCCGTAGCGCGCAGCGGCAGCACGCTCGGCAACTGCCGATCCCGCTTCCCTCCCCATTTCCCCCACTACAACATTCGGCCCTACGCGACCTAACAGGCGACACCTGACTCCGTACTGTTTGCTCGCTCCAAACATTGGCACTGTTCCGGACGTGCACGGTGCCCCACCGCACCACGGCTGTCGTTGCATGAGGCAGCGGAGCGGGGGGGGGGGGGAGGGTCACATTCGCCCGTCACGGCGTGTCGCATCGTAACGTCTGCCGCATAACGCCTGTCTCGTTTGGGCAGCGGCACCGACAGCTGACGTCTCACTGATGCGTTGTTCGACTCACAGCTGGCGGTCATTGAACCTGGCCCCGTGACACCCTCCCCTTACGGTCGCCGGGAGCCGTACCTTACGGTCCCCGCTCAACACACCGTCCCCTGTCAGCCGCCGGTGTTTGGGTCCGTCTCCGTGATATACCACCCTCACGGTCGCCGGGAGCCGAGCCCCCGCTTAACACACCGTCCCCTGTTAGCCGCCGGTGTTTGGGTCCGTCTCCGTGATATACCACCCTCACGGTCGCCGGTGACTGAGTCCGTCTCCATAATACACTGCCCCTCCCATCCGCTAGTGACTGAGCCCGTCCTCGTGACACACCACCCCTCACAGGCGCCAGTGACTGAGCCCGTCCTCGTGACACACCACCCCTCACAGTCGCCGGTGACTGAGCCCGTCCTCGTGACACACCACCCCTCACAGCCGCCGGTGACTGAGCCCGTCCCCGTGACACACCGGTCGCCGCCTCGCCCTCAGCGGCAGCCGTCCGCGGGACGAGTGGGCCGGCTCGTCCGTGCGCGCCGGCCCGCCGGACGAGCCGGCGACCGCGGCCGACGAGTGGGCCGACCCGGCGCTGGTCATGGTGTACGAGAAGGCGTCCGTGCTGCTCGACTCGCACGAGTTCGGCGTGTTCGACGACCTGGTGCGCCGTTACCTGGCCGGCCACGTCAACGTCGGCAGGCTGGTGGGCTCGCTGCTCGAGCTCTTCCGGTCACCAGAGACGGTGAGAGAGAGGGAGAGAGGAGAGAGAGAGAGAGAGAGAGAGAGAGAGAGAGAGAGGAGGAGGAGGGAGGAGGGAGAGAGAGAGAGAGAGAGAGAGAGAGAGAGAGAGAGAGAGAGAGCCACCACGCGCTCGCTCGGGTTCGCTGTCTGCCGACGCCAGGCGCCGGCTCTGCAGATGTGTCCGTGATAGGGTCGTCCATGGCCGGCGAACACGCGAGCGCGGGAAATATTTTTAAAACGCGGAAAAGCGGAGTATGTGAGCACGTGTGGCCCCTGCAAAGCACCGTTCTGCTCGCGTGCCAGGTGTGGAAGGAGGATGGGTGGCATTTGAGTAGACAGTCATCGCCATTACGCTCATAAATGGGCCTGAAGCACGAATATGAAGACAGCTGGTAGCGCTTGCCTGATGGGCCCCGGGACGCCTTCACTCCCGTCGGGTGAAAAATTGGTCTTTGTTTAATTTATAACGTTCTCTGTCCTGGAAACGATAGACGAAGTGCTTCCTCTGCGCCGAAAGCGTGTACACGAGAAAATAATTAGCACCATCGAGTGTTCGTATTCATGTTGGCTCAACACGCTGTAAAAATCAATGACGTATACCAAAGGATGTGATGAAATTTAAGATGTCCTGAACTTGGAAAAAGTTTGGGCCTTCTGACAAGACAGTTCGGTATTGCTGTTTTTTCTCGACGCACCAGCAGCTCGTCCGTCAGCCTGATGCACCCCACCTGGGATATATACATGCACATGGTGTCAGTACGTATAAGCTGTGTGGCATAGCAGGGCATCCGCCCGTCTCCCACACCTCGCGCACGATCGTAATATGCGTATGGCGTGAACCGAACTTCCGGCATTAGTGCGTATGTTATGAGAACATACGGTCCTTATGTGACTTGCTTTAAAGTAAACCTTCCATGTGCAATGCTTGTTAAACCATAGCTAGTCATTTATTGTTTTTTTTTTTGTAGCCGCAGTTAGCCATACTCCCAAAATAGAGACGTTTTACAGCAGAACTCTCTGGTTAATAATGCGTGAATGGTAATATTTCCAACTGAAATCGTAAATAGTCACATTCACAAGTAAGGCATGTGATGTCGTCTTTACACTGAAATCTTCTGGTAGGCAGGCAGGAATCCGGCGTGAGGGTGTCCGGCGAGTTCAACCTGTAACATAACATTTTTAGGCATCAGACGTTGTGAGATATCGCAGGTTGTTCTTGGTAGCAAGACCAAAGCTATTCGACATGTAAATAAACAGCGGGTAAATGCAAGGGAGTTATTATTCTTACGAAGTAATTTCCCTTTTCTGTGTTTGATATGTACCTCGTGCACAAATTTGTTCCTTCCTTAATTACAAAACGGTGGATTGGTACGCCTCCATTCAGATGTTATCTGTAATGCGATGTGAGGAATTTGAGCGTCATTGTCTTTCCACCGAACGATAAAGCATAATGGCTGACAGTTGGCGTAAATCACAGTTTTGAGACTTTAGGCTGTTGGGTAGTGTGTAGGTTTTCGGTTTGGTTAAAACTGGTTGTTGCTTGCGCGCACTCTAGTAGATTAGACGTAATTCCATGTGCTCTGGCCCGGCCGGCACAGTAATCAATCATCAGCAATCACAACTCGATTGCCTGTTCCAAATATGCAAGTATGGATCCACGATTGCTGTCACGAACGTAACATTATTTTGATGCAACCGTGGTGTAATCAAGCTTCAAGAATACTGCATAACTTTGACTAGAACATGGCTCTCAGGAGAAGTGTAAATACCGCCAAGACTTCAAGACTCGGCATCATTTAGTGACAAAGTGCAAATCAGCGACGGACAACTGACAGTGCGGGCGCAGACCCATTGTGATTGGGCATCTAATTAGATTACTCACGCCGAGTGGAGAGCCAGTCTTGGGGAGGTGACTCAAGCCAGGAGGTGGCGCCAGCTGCAGAAAGGTCGGCCGGGCGAACAGCGTCGCGCCGTGGATGTCTGCCTCGCCTGCTCCGTCCGTGCCCGCCTCGGCCCCGGCCTCCGGCGAGGCCTGGCCGAGCGTCGAGGCCGGACGGGACGGGGGTGCCAGCTGCACGAGGGTCGGTAGGAGCAATAGCGTCACGCCGTGGCCAGTCGTCGCCGGTGGCATGTCAGCGCCTGCCGTCGTCCTCTGCTCTTCGAGAGGCGGCTGGCGGGCCGGTGGCGGCAGCTGCACGAATGTCGGCAACAGGAAGAGCGTCTCACCCTCGGCGGCCGGCGCCGGTGGCACCAGCGCGCCAGCGGTGCCCTCCAGCTGCGCCTCGGGTGGGGCCGGGCCGGGTCGGCGGGGCAACAGCCGGAGGCCGGCCGGCTGGAGCAGGAGCGGCGCCCCCCAGCCGGGCGGACCGGCTCTGGCGGCGCCCGGGCCGCGGAGCAGCAGGCGGTGGAGCACCGGCTGGTCGCCGGCCGCCAGCGCCAGCGCCAGCGCCAGGAACAGCACAGCAACCTGGGGCGGAGCGACGACATTGTCACGGAACAAGACACAGTCGCCTGCCGAACTGGTGCCGCTGAGGGGAGTGGGCATGGACAGGCATGTCTGCGACCTTGTGTTTCCCGATAACACATTTGGGGGTGCATGTACGGAAATATCGCGTTCACTTCCACCACCAGTTAGCCAGGAACCGATTTTTCAGTTATCTGATTCTGGGGCTCGTTAACTGTCGGTGGATGCCAGCTAAGCTGTCGTTTTTCAAGGCCATGCGAAACGGGATTACCTATCAGGGATCTCGAATGGCCGCTCATTAAAGCCTCTCATTATCTCGAACAGCCAATAAAATACACTTCGGAAACGAGGGCCACTCTTAAGCTATCGACCGCACTACACTCGCTCGACGGTTCCTGGCGCATGCAAGACTCGTCTCTACTCAAAGTACTCACCACCTTCATGTGTGCTCGGTCGGCTATCTCGGCATTCTGTTCATTCATATTGCCTTATATATGGCCCCTGATGGCCGCCCACGGCGGTGCAGGCGCGGCCCTGTGCCCAGGTAACAGCATTCCTCGGTGTGACGAGGCGCTCGGCGCCCGCCTATCTCGACATCACCGGTTTGAAGAGGACCGCGCGACTTCAGATCCGACTGGAAGAGGCACCGTCTGTCCCTCAGCCGGGATAGCTGCTGACAGCGCTATGCCTCAGCCGTTCATCCCTCAGTGCCTGTGCTGCCTGCATCCGCCTCTGCCGTAGAAGTCGTTACAGACGTCACGTGGCCGCCTCAGGCCAGAGATCACCTCGCACATTGGACGCAGTTATGTGCAGAGTCAGCGTGGCGCGTGCTGAACCTTGGGAGCTTGCTGAAGGGCTTAAGGCGCTTAACAGCTGTACTTGCACATCAATACAGCGGCACCTCAGCGTGCGGCGCCTATTCCATTATCTTTGGATGCGAGACAAATAAGCTCCTGTGTGCCACAGCTGGGAGTTAGTTGTCTTGTTGAGGAGCAATCAGCTTTGGGCGGGGATAGGGTTTCTGTACATGTTGTGGTCATCGCTACGATAAGATCATTATATGCGGCTCCGTTCCGCGCACCCAGACGTGGCCCCTGAGTTCTGATAACCCACCTGCCACCAGCAGCGGCTCGAATTTTTGCACCCCCGAGTCTTCAGGGCCCGGGGCTTGACTTTCGAAGCGCGTCGGCGCCTGCCTCGCCCTCTATCCCTGCTGTGCCCTGGCCTCGGGGCGGCGGCGGCACGAGAGAGCGCCTACCCCGGGCGGCGTGGTCTGCAGCACACGCCGCTCGAGATCGAGGTGGACCGCTGCCAGCTTCACCCACCGCGTCCCCGGACCCCGCCCCGCCCCACCCGGCCAGAGCCTGATTTATTCTCGACCTCACCTCACCCAAGGATAAGGACCGCGGAAGTCTTAACGATGGTGGGTAATTACCCACATCAGCTCGGCCGGTGGGTAATTAGCTGGCGCGGCGTCTCGGCCGATGGTACGCAGGATGGGTCAGGCCTGGAGTCGACAGTCAGAGACTACCTCACGCGCGGCTTGGGTCTACACCGTCGCCATCGTGGCACTCAGAGTTATGTTCTGTTAGAGCAACACTTTGGTAGCTAGTGACGGCTTTGCTATCACGCAACTTACTGCGTGCATGCGTGGAATTATTGGAAGAGGCATATGCACATGATAAATCGAAATATCTCTGATCGAATCTTGAAATCTTGAAAATGTTTGAGAGCAACATCACGGCTCAGAACCCCGACGCGTACAGCAGCGTCCCGACGCAGCCGGGCCTTTCCAGGTCTGGTGCGTTGGATAATTCGATAAGGCAATCTACGGACAATATGCATTGGTGGTAATTCTCGCCGTAAGTGAAAGCAATGGGTTTGAGATGACGGCGTCAGTAAATCCTAGAGGCATATGGTATTAGACAATGCATTAGGGTTAATGGCCCCTAAAGGGTGCCAAGCAGTATCACGTGAGGTCGAACAAGAGCTGGACATCTGGGCTGAAGTAATGCAAGACGAGGTCACGTCAGCCGCCTCTGAACAAGCTCGCTACGGGTGAGCTCATAAAAGATGAAATATTCCATGTGAAGTCACAAAATTCCTTGCGAGTGTTCAAGACAGTGCCACGCGGAAAAATCCACCGAACTTGTCTTGTGCATCAGTATGGAATGCATTGTGTTCGCTCACACTGTATGCACGGCGCGCGCCATATTTCAGACAAACCCTGCACTGCTTTCTGTCTCAAAGTGCTTCTAGACCAAAAAACGACAGCAGACACCACTAAATATACCCACTTTCTTTTTTGTGTTCGGCTGTCGACCTAACCCTCCCCTGTGGAGCCTCCATGTTGATGAAAATCCACGGCAAGTGCTCCAGTGACTTTGCATTGTTCTGCAGACTATCCCGAGGAATGTTCTAGTTTTGTGCTCATGCAAGATCAAACTTGCAATGTTTCGTGGAATGACGCGGAATCCACGCCTTTCGAACACACCCTATTTCCACCGATATTTTCTCCTGCATCCATCCGATGTGTAAGAGGTTCATTATGTCTATTTCAGGAACGCACGGTGATCGCACAATCAACGTGCACGTCGGCCCATTTGTTAGCTAATTTTGCATAACCTCTCTCAGTTTGTCGCCATGATTTTAATGTACGCTACAAATAAAACGCAAAACAATATTTTCACAAGGTCACACCTCAGTGATCAGTCGCGCCGTCGTCGGCGCCGCTCCGGGCCTCGTCGCAGTCAACCGCGCTGGGTGGTGCCGGTGCGGTATATGGGAGTCTGGCACCGACGAAAGGAAAGCGAACAACTCGCACGTATTCACAACAGGCCACAACCTACATGCTGTAACGACGCGGGACCTAGATGACTTCACGGGCTGGGTATGCTCATGGATAACCACATGAAATGGGTAAAGTGTTTGGTTGGGTATATATTTGGGCAAAACTGCGGGCTTGGTTACGGCTATGGGTGGTTGGGAATATATTTGGGCAAAACTGCGGGCTTGGTTACGGCTATGGGTAAGACGCTTAGGAAATACCCGGGTAAAAGCTTCAAGGAACTGGACAACTCTTACCACTTGCGTACATTTTCGTCGTAATTAGCTACATTCACACTAGTTTCGCAACCAATACCGCAAAAGGGTAAGTTTGGGTGAAAACTTTTCCATAATGTAGAACTTAAGGGATGGAGAAATGAAAATGGGTGGGTTACGGATCAGTAAACTGATAAAACAAATTGGTAGCGGATGGGTATGGGCGCAACTCCAAGTGTAATGGGTGGAAGGAGTACAGAAAATCATACCCGCCAAAGGCCCTAATAACACATCATTCACACGTGAGCTTCAGCATGACTTACCATGCGTCGCACGCATCAGGTAGCCGGACTTACCACTAACGTGAACACTGTTCGCCGTTCGTATCATTACGGCCGAGATGTATTCCAAGCTGCGATGTTCGATAAGTTTATACCCAAGGCCATCCTGACGTAAAGCCAGCTCTTTCGATATGGCATATTTACTGGCGGCGGCACACAGGTGAAGTATGGTTCCGAATTTTTCCCAAAGCACCAGCAGGATGCGTTTTGAGGTAGCCTATTTAGTGAGCCTCTGTGATTTTGTGCCCAAAAAAGTTTTATTATGCATGCGCCCAGGACTTTCACACGAAAGATTCATTGTGCTCAATGCATTTGGGACATGTTCATGCTGAATGTCCAACGTTACCCGCCGAAAAATGATTGTAAATAACATGCGTCTCTGAGACGATTTGCAAATTGATTTATCTTCATATGAATATATATATATATATATATATATATATATATATATATAACGTAGCATGCACTTTGCTGCACTCTTCTCTCACGATGCATTTGTCCCAAGTAAAGGGCAAGGACATCGCTTAGTTTTCGAATATTTGGGTTCCCATACATTTTGTGCTTCTTTTGTTTTTCAATGTATACACGATTCATATATATTTTTCACCCTGTCCCTTCTGTTGGAACGCATTTTGCAATTGAGTGTCTTCCTTGCTTGTGGAATTACTTCCCCTTTTCAAGCAGATTGTAGCGATGCTGAGCATCCGAAGAGATTTAAATACGGCTTTTGAATTCTTAACGTATTGCACAGCTAATCAAATAGCATGTGTGCGCCATCGTTTCTTAACAGATCATTCAAGAAAAGCTCTCCTTTGCGGTGCCACCATCGCAGCCCACTGTATGCAACTGGCCTCAATCGAGAAAGCAAAGAGACACCCTGAATCATTCTCTTCCTTATTTTTGCACACTTGATAGCGCCGAAGCCATGATAGCATTTTCCCTGATAAGGTTTGATTTGGGCTGATCCACCATTCTGAGACAGGCATCGACTTGATGTTTAAACTTGGACATGGACAAGACTTGGAAAGCGTCCTCTATAATTTATCCTGGAGAGGGTATTTTTCAAGCCTTGCAGATGTAATCACAGAAATTTCTTGAAATCTTAAACTCAAGTGACGTTTAGACTCTAACTTCATATAAGCCACAAAGGCCTTGAGCTCGTGATTTTTCGGCATTTTGAGTTTTGGAGTTCTTTTGCTGAAAGAAGTTGACCTTTATTATGCGACGAGGTAGTTTCTGGTCAAACACATTATCAAGCAATCGTTAGTTAGATTGTCAAATCCCGGAAATTTCGTGCAGTACTTATTGTCATAAGCGTATAAAGTAATGGAGAACACCCCTACTCACCCCGTGACTATAAGCACAGCTTCAAACGTTGCTTTTATCGATACATCTAATATGTGCTTGATAATGCCGTTTACCCAGTCTACCCCAGCACATTACGGGTCAATTACTATCATCATAAGAACTCTAAACTCATAAGGGTCTCACAACTATCGCATCGCACAGATGCGTAGGAACAAGTGAGGCATGATATGACCTACCCATCTTTCGTGAACGTTTGACCCTGACCAACATATGGAAAGCATTGTCATTACAGTATTGCTTGACCTGCCCTGTTGGGGAGGTCCTATTTCAGTACTACATGATGGGCCGCAACAAATAGGCAGAGGAAAGTATGCATCATTGAAATGGTCGTTCAGCAGGGCGGGATGTCACTGGTGAGTGCCGAGCTGTTTTTGTTTTTTTTTACAAGCATCGATCAATGAATCGATTCACCGTCAGTTTAGGCGATGCTGCATATAGCTTTGACACTCACGCTAAACAAGAATTGCATGCTAATCTCACCCCGAACTTTCAGAAAATGTATTTCACGGCATCAGAGTGAATTGGTTGTTACCCACTACCCCCCCCCCCCCCCTCCCGTCCCCCACGCCACCCAAGCAACTGCCGAGTATTGCGGGGTTCCATTTCGTCCAATTAATGGGCACTTACGATGATCCTGTTTCAGCTTCTGTGCTGATTACTGCCAACTAGAGACACTTGCTGCTGATTCCACGGCCTGCTTCGGACGGTAACCCCCTTCACCTTCTCCCACCATCTCCATCGGCCCTTGGTTGCGCAGTCCGTAAGAGGTCCCCGTGTTTAGGTCCTCGCGCTCCCGCCCAGCCGAATGGTAACGTTCCGATGTCGAATGGGGTGTAGCCAGCCGGAGGGGGGGGGGGGGGGGGGGTCGGCGGCGGCCGCGACTGGTTGGCCCGGGTCAGCCCGGCATGCCCGCCGCCCGGCTCTACTCCGCGGGCGCGGGCGTGGCCAACTGCCCCTCCCCGTCTGCCGGCGCCGCCGCCGTACGCTGGCGCCGGCGAAGCCCCGAAAAAGCTGGCCCCGGCGCCGGGCAACACCACCATTAGCCGAGCGAGGCAGGGCGGTACGATGATGGAGGACGCTGGGAGCGCGCCGACCCGGCCCGCAATTGCCGCTGAGCTGAGAGGTCGACGCTGCGTGCCTGTCTGGTGCGATTGCTACTGAGCTGAGAGGTCGACGCTGCGTGCCTGTCTGGTGCGATTGCTACTGAGCTGAGAGGTCGACGCTGCGTGCCTGTCTGGTGCGATTAGCTTGGCCGGAGTGGAGCTGATAGATAATTAGCGCATCTTATTGCATCGCCTATAGGATGCCTACATGGCATTCGAGCTCGCTTCGCTTTGGACGGTAAACGGCAATTTGCGCATCATTACCAACGTTTTTTTACCGTAAAAAACCAGCGAAAGAACGCAATTCATTGTCGCCGCGGTAACCGTTTATCGCCCTAGAACTTCGGTGATCGAGGAGCGTGTTTTTTAGAGCACGCTCCATGGTTGTGCGCTCAACAAGTTTCCTGTTTGGTCCTCGCCGTGGCGTGCCAGGGAACTCCATCATCGATCATCTTCAGCGAAACTTCCTCAGCGCGTATTAAACGCTGCACGCTACGCTGGTGTTTGGAGCGATATTTAATCATCGTTTCCAAGGTCGAGACAACAGACGATGCATCTTGCCAAGTTGGCCGATGAGATTATCCAGCCGCGTGAGTACACCATGTGCCGCACGGGCGCGCCGTGCCGATATCACACTTGATACCAACTATGACAGCTATAAAATATTGATGTGCTCTGATAGCGGCTCCGAGCGGGCCTGGTAACATAAAGCCTAGCGTGGTCCCCTGACGGAGAGCTCCGTCCCGTTCATCTTCGGTGTTTTTTCCTGCATTCGTCAGAAAATAAAAAAACATGTGAAGTTTTTGACGTCGCGCAAAAATTATACGCGCTTTCCTACGTTACATTGAAATTACATGCATTGTAATTTATATCATGTTTCTTGTTGTCCCATGCTTCGGCTGTGAAGAACTGCACTGCGCAGCCGTTTTGCGGGTAGATGATTTCTTCCCCTGAGGGATATGGAATTGTAAACCTCAAGAAGGACTTGAACCCCGGAGTCAATATTTCGGGTCCAAATGGTCTACCAACTGGGCTAAGGAAGGTTGAACACTACGCCGCCTTAGTACTGGTGTAGATGGGGTTCATTGGAGATCTGATGCTGATCATGAACGCTTGAATTTAAAGCCGGGAAGTTGATATATCGTGTGGGTAAAGCAGAAGGAGATCTTGTTCCGACCATAGTCGATTAAGGTCATCGTCGCAATGCATGACTGCCATTTGTGACCATGAGCGCAGCTCGAAACGTGGAGTTTGCCAGCATAGCCATGGTGCCTTGAAAACTTGCGTAACCAGTGCTTCCTGGCATTATGAAAGTCCAGTATTGTTATAAAAGACCTCCCACCTTACGGCGGGCTTGGTTTTGCTAAAACGACCGTTTAAAAGATACCTAAAGAATATTTTGAGGTTGATCATGCATCGGTAAACATCATTCACTATTTTCCTAGTGCACGCAGCTGGAAACACTGCATGTTTACCGTCACAACCAAGTCTACGCCTTGAACCAGGCAACAGGGGAGTCAAGAGAGGCCAAGATTAGTGTCCAAAATTCCATCGGTTCATGGTTCAACGAAATGGTCCGGATCCAAGCAAGCCGTGACCCAGAATGTTCGCCTCCAGCTGACGCTGCTGACGGAGCTGCGCGAGATCGTGACGCCGGTCGATCAGCTGCGGTTCGACCAGATGGTTTACCACGCCGACGGGCAGACGGCGTACCAAGCCGACCGCCGCCATCCGGTCGACCATTCGGTACGTGTCCACACGGATATTATGCGGACTGCACCAACTTATCTGCTCAGAGGCCGGGCTCTGCCAATCTCGTCGAACTAGCGCTCAGTTTAGGTCTGAGTAGAAGTCATTTGGTATAATTAAGGCAACTCATTGGGCCGGGAAACAGGCATTGGAGCTAGCGAACTTATGGCTTTGTTATACAACAGCAGCCTAAAATTGGTAGGTATACTTTTGCAGTGATGTAAGGCATTTGATTTGGAGGATTCCACGATAAGCGTTGATTGTTATGATTAAGGCTACTAGTTCCTTTATAACATGCTGAACTGCATCGGCGAATAATTTATTATCAATGCATTTCAACTTTCCGAGAGGCTGGCGTCGGTGGCTACCACACAAGTGCCCTCTGTTGGCGTCCTCGACAACCTCAGATTCCGAGATCCCCGAGCGATGACTCAGGTGTCGAGCTTCCCAACGGCACACACGCCGCGCCTCATTACAGGTCAGTGGACTGGTTCAGCCTGGCTGAGCTTTGACAGTTGCCTATGCTAGCCATTTGCTGTTATTGGGGCTTAACTTCGTATTCAGCAGATGAAGCTACACGGTGTTGCATGCCTCTACCTCTGGCAGGAGGGGCGGATACCGCGGCGAATCGAACTCCGTATCTCTGGTTCTCCACACGCGCAGCTTAATCACTGTGCTACCGACATCCGCTGTTGTATTCAGACATTCAATCCCCCTGCGTTGTCCAAAAAATAGCAGACATCGCGGTCACTAATTAAATGATGACATCGGCCTTTATCCATTGCTGCCGTAGATTTAACGAACATACTTCAGCGAAGTGAGCTGGCCAACCGCCGTCATCCTCTCCCCCCGTCGTGCCCTCTGGCGGTGACGCTGCTGCTATCAGATGCAAGTAACAACTCTTGAGCTCTGAGAAAATCTTTCTGTAACGATGCACCTCGTCTTTTATTGTCATAATCCTGATTTTTGCGTTCAGGGGCCTTGTCGAAGAAGATTGGGCGATCACCCACCACCCCCGAGTGGTATTTCAGCGACATGTAGAAGATAGCGGCCACCCCAGTCCCAGCGTGGTAAGATACGCACAGATACTACTCGAGCATATGCCAATGCGTCCGTGACACGTCGCGATGCATTCCCTCCAGACTGCCAGTGCAAACTAATACTTTTCTGCCGATGTTTTCACGCTGGCTGTCGACGCTGTTGGCGGCGCGCGCCGGCCGCTGCGCTATAGCTAAGCGCGTCATCGTGCCACCATGTGACGTCCGACGACAGCCCCCACCCCCCCCCCCCCCCCCCCCCCCCCTGTGAGCCGCCGGCGCCCGGCTCCGTTTCAGCCGGCCGGGCTGACGGGCGCGGCCGCGCTGTTCCCGGGACTGGCACGGCTGACGGAGCGGGGCCGGCCCGCTCCCATGACCCCCGACCCTTTGTTCGACCAGAGCTTCACCGAACTGGCCAGACTGCGGCCGGCCAGCGCGCAACCGGAATTGGTAAGCGCCGCAGGAAGGGAAGCGCGTCCGATCAGACGGCCCACTGACGCGCGTTTTGTAGCCTGAGGGAGGTGTGCGCTGTCCTCGCCGTCAGACAGATTGCTGACAATGCGCCGTTTTCAATGCCCTGACAATGTGCTGTGGCGAAGTGTGTGCATGCGGTACCTGCTGAAACGCTGTCATCAGGGCTGGAGTGCTTGCATATTTACATGTGATATCAAAAAGCAAGCATGATTTTGCCACATTATGCAAACGGCAATCTGGATAGATGCATGGATAAATAGTGGAACCAGTGTTCTGAAGACGGGCATAAATGACACAAATCATGACACTTCCAGCGTCAGAAATGGTGCCCGTGCTATGCCAGCAGCTGGACCCATACCCGGCGAGCCCCATATTGGAGGATCCCGAGGGCAACATCAAAATCACCGTGCCGAAGAGCAAGCCGCTGCTGGGTATTGTCATCGAGGGCGGCGCCAACACGTCCCAGCCGCTGCCGCGCATCGTCAACATACAGGTCAGCGGCCGGACCCGCCGCGAGACGTCAACATACAGGTCAGCGGCCGGACCCGCCGCGAGACGTCAACATACAGGTCAGCGGCCGGACCCGCCGCGAGACGTCAACATACAGGTCAGCGGCCGGACCCGCCGCGAGACGCCAACATACAGGTCAGCAGCCGGACCCGCCGCGAGACGTCAACATACAGGTCAGCGGCCGGACCCGCCGCGAGACGTCAACATACAGGTCAGCGGCCGGACCCGCCGCGAGACGTCAACATACAGGTCAGCGGCCGGACCCGCCCGCGAGACGTCAACATACAGGTCAGCGGCCGGACCCGCCGCGAGACGTCAACATACAGGTCAGCGGCCGGACCCGCCGCGAGACGCCAACATACAGGTCAGCAGCCGGACCCGCCGCGAGACGCCAACATACAGGTCAGCGGCCGGACCCGCCGCGAGACGTCAACATACAGGTCAGCGGCCGGACCCGCCGCGAGACGTCAACATACAGGTCAGCGGCCGGACCCGCCGCGAGACGTCAACATACAGGTCAGCGGCCGGACCCGCCGCGAGACGTCAACATACAGGTCAGCGGCCGGACCCGCCGCGAGACGCCAACATACAGGTCAGCAGCCGGACCCGCCGCGAGACGTCAACATACAGGTCAGCGGCCGGACCCGCCGCGAGACGTCAACATACAGGTCAGCGGCCGGACCCGCCGCGAGACGTCAACATACAGGTCAGCGGCCGGACCCGCCGCGAGACGCCAACATACAGGTCAGCAGCCGGACCCGCCGCGAGACGCCAACATACAGGTCAGCGGCCGGACCCGCCGCGAGACGTCAACATACAGGTCAGCAGCCGGACCCGCCGCGAGACGTCAACATACAGGTCAGCAGCCGGACCCGCCGCGAGACGCCAACATACAGGTCAGCAGCCGGACCCGCCGCGAGACGTCAACATACAGGTCAGCAGCCGGACCCGCCGCGAGACGTCAACATACAGGTCAGCGGCCGGACCCGCCGCGAGACGTCAACATACAGGTCAGCGGCCGGACCCGCCGCGAGACGTCAACATACAGGTCAGCAGCCGGACCCGCCGCGAGACGTCAACATACAGGTCAGCGGCCGGACCCGCCGCGAGACGTTCCAGCTGCGTCGACGAGACCGCCGGCAGATAACTGCGTGCTTGGGAGAAAACGGCGTTAACTGGGCATGTCGCAAGAGAATGTTGGGACAAAGTCATCCGACCGTTTTGGGTCAAATCAGATAACAGAGTGCGCGTCGTGCGCGGCGTGCCGTGTCAATCCCGGGCGTGAAGTGAACACCGGCATGACGTTCACCACCCGAAACCAAAAGCCAGGTGTGCTGTGTTTTCATTTACGTGTAAAATTACACGTAATCCAATGGTGAATAATTTTATGTACAGAAAGTAGAAATTGCTTGGTCCTTCTCCAAAATAAGCTGCCGGTGACAGAGCTACGTCACCCGAATTCAGCAGATGCCTGACACATACGACTGCGAAGACGGGAGAACGAATAGAGCCGACTGTCATGTGAATCGCCTTACGGCACGCAGAATCCTGTAGGTCATGAATACGCTTATCTTAACAGGTCGTTAGCGAGATGGTTCCAGCGCTTGTGGTTCAACGTTGCCAGGCTTAGCTACGATCGCCTTCTACCGATGTTTGGGAGACAGTGAGCCCGGCGGATGATGCCCATCTGAACACCATTCCCCCACTTACACCCGCATGATGACTGGTGCGCAGTTTTGGGAGACAGTGAGCCCGGCGGATGATGCCCATCTGAACACCATTCCCCCCTTACACCCGCATGATGACTGGTGCGCAGCTAGCATTCTGACGGCGCCTATCCGCTGCAGCCTTACGGGTCGGCGTTCAGTGCCGGTGGTCTGATGGTGGGCCAGGTTCTGACGGTGCCTATCCGCTGCAGCCTTACGGATCGGCGTTCAGTGCCGGTGGTCTGATGGTGGGCCAGGTTCTGACGGTGCCTATCCACTGCAGCCTTATGGGTCGGCGTTCAGTGCCGGTGGTCTGATGGTTGGTCAAGTCATCAAATCCGTGGACGGCAAAAAGCTGGTCGGTACGTCAAATGACTTCAGTGTGAATTTTAAAGATGGAGCTAGACGTGCAGCGGACCCTGGGGAGTGTTGACACAATTAAATCGACATGGTGTGCGTGGTTGCAATTCTTGGTATACTTGGGGTAATGTGCTTGCATGTTTAAGATCCTTGACGGCTTTCCTTCTTGAACAATGTGCACGTTATCACATACACTGAGCTGTCGAACCGCACGACGCCCTGGAAGTCATACGCCATGTGCTCACGTCGTAACGCCGTCACACCGTCGTCGCCGCCGCCGTCCACCTGACTCACGCCTGAGCTGGCCAGCTGCCGTAATGTGCCGACGGTGCCCGAGCGGTGCGTTGATGGCGCCCCGACTTCGCAGGCGTGAATCATCAGCGCGCGGCGCAGGTTATCGCGGAGGCTTACGCCAACAAGAGCAAGCCCGACATCGAGTTCGTGGTACGCGAGCTGAAGCGAAGCGCCTTCAACGTCAAGCACTGCGCGCCCGACGTGACGCCTGACTAGTAGGGCCATCTCTCGCCGTCTAGACCAACTGCGCCGCCCGGTGCTGCCACCTGTGACCGTCAGATCGCACTGTCCAGCGCCTCGCAGTGTTCGCCGCAGCCTTGCCGCCCCCGAGCCGTCGTTCTTGTCGCGCCTTTCGGTTGCCGCGTCAGCAGCCAGTGTCCGTATCTAGTTCCTCGACTGCAGCTGCGCTCACCTACGGTCTGTCGGGTTCGCTGCGCGCCCGCGGTTTCCGAGCCGCGTCTCCATCTATATCTCCTCCGGATAGCCGGCGGCGGCTGTGTGTCTGAGCGGCCTGCCGCCGCCGGCGGACGGTTGCTCGCTTCGCCGCACTGGCTCGCCGGCGGTGCTGCTACCCGGCCACTGGGTGCTGCGGGGGGCGGCTGGGACGCTATCATGCATATCACGCGCGCGAGGCTGGGTCGGCGGGCCGCCCGCGTATTCTGTGTCGTGGCGTGTCGTATCGTCGTGTCGGTGAAGCGCCTTTAGGGTCAGATCTCAGCGAATGATGTGCGTGCAATGGTGGCTGCATTCCATGTGATGTGTGCACGCACGTGTACTTTGTATTTTGTTATAACTGTGGCTTGTAGAGTGCTTCTTCATTCCCGACCACCGAAGCAATAACGTGAGCTAAAATGTAATGTTCTGCGTTGGCGTCGTTCCGTACACCTAGCACGTGTGAGCACGTTTCGATACGTTTTGCACCGGGGCTTGATCATGTGCAGCACTCGCACTGGAAGCCACGGCGGCTGACCTGCCCCGGACCTGAGGCCTGCCCGGGATCATCAGCTGGCCTGCCCGGGACCATCAGCTGGCCTTCCCGGGACCATCAGCTGACCTGCCCGGACCTGAGGCCTGCCCGGGACCATCAGCTGGCCTGCCCCGGACCACCAGCTGGCTGTGCGTGCTCCCGTGCCGCCTCTCACCGCACTGCCCCGCCCAGCCAGATGACCACCGCCGTGTGTCTGGGCCGTCGCCGGAATCGCGTGTTCAGATCGTCTTTTGGCGCGTGATGTGCCGTTGTGTAACGTACGCGTGGGGGCTCGCGCGTGCCCCGCCCATTGCGACCCAGCTCCACAGTAATAAAACTGCAAACCTGTGACCCGTAGGTGTCACGCGGTGAGGTGAGTTTCGGGCCGTGGGCAAACGACATCTACTTCAGGGGCTTTTAGCGCGGATGCCCACCGGAAAATCGATCTTCAGAGCGAAGCAGGCACTGCTTACGGACCTTGCAGAACGTTCTCCTCAATACCGACAGCGCAAGACAGCAGACTGAGGGAGCGAGAACAAGGCGAACCCGGATGGTCTCGGAGACCCCGACGGCCTCCGCTCCGGTCTGTGCGATACGGGCCGTGTTGGAGCCTGCGCCCGGCAGAGCTTGCGCCCTTGACAACCCGTAGTCTCATGCAACGTAACCTGCGCACTGAGACGACTCGCAGCGCCCAGGGTCCGGGCAAGACAAACTCGGGAGGAGCTTCATAGCTTTTATTCATCGCCCATTTGGGACCACAACAGCTTGCCTTCGACTTGCAGCGACGCAGTCCCACATGTTTTTAGTCAGCGCTGTTTCAGGGGCCAGGGCAAAGCAGTCGGGCTTCAATCTCGCGACACCCCAGCAAAATATAAATACGCGACATAAATAGCTACCAGCCGTGGGTGATAAAAAATTAGCAGCGTTAGCCATCTGTAAGCACATTGTGAGTATTACAGGAACAGAGACGAACATCAAAGCGCCGACTGGCTGTTAGTGCGACAACAAGCAAACATTGCACGGTTACTAGAAATCCAACAGCTAGTCCCATCACAGTCTTTGGTGTGAGTTGTTAATACTGGTCACTTTACAATACAGAGAAAGCACGGTCATTGTTCGAAAGGCACGCGAAGGGGCGGTACGTCATTCTGACCAGGAATGCCTGCGTTCCAGTACGTGAGCAGTCCGATGAACGAGCGGCGAGCACGCATCGTCATCGGGGGGGGGGGGGGGGGGAGGGGAGGGGGGCAACATTGGAATGACATGACCATCGCAATTTCTGGTTTAGCGCACATCTGGTTTAGCGCACCTGCGGCTGGTCTAGCTAAACACGGAATACTATCAGCAACTTCCCAGATATCATTAAGTAGAGGTGCACAACAGCTGTGTCAGTCTCCAGTTGTCTGCCATGGCCGGCCATGGAGATCGCCGCAATCTGTGTGACATATGAGGTCAACTAGGACGGAACGGTGTGCTGTGCGCAGCGTGGATCACCGACACCACTCACCAAGGCTGGTGCTCACTAATTCCAGCCCGCACACTGGCTGCACAGCGACTGAACTCACGCGCGTGAGGGTTCGACAAAGCTGGAAGCTGTCACACATGGTAAATCCAAATCACATCTAGCTGCGCGTTGTTTCATGGGCCGTAACGGTTGTGCCGTGGGACGCTCCGCCTGTCAGGCGCGTTGAAGGGCCGCGCCCGGCATTGCTCCCTATGAACCAACGATGTTTTCCGCTTGCAGCTACCAAAGCTGGTGGTGGTCGTGCAAGTTGCGAACCTCGCGGCGGCTCTGACAAGGACTGTTTGACGGACTGGCCGACAGATGGCTCGACGCTCCGTTGTGGGCATGGCGGCTGAACGCCGGTGAGCTGCGGAAGCCAGGCGTTCATCAAATCGAGGCAGCACAAGGCGCGTACAAACAATCTACAGACGCACAGCACTGCTCGAAATCGGTCACCTTAACACCGGCAGTCATGCCATGTCAGTGTTCTTAGAATCGCCTTCAACATTCAGTGCACATCATCCCGATTAGGAGACAAGTCCACGAATGGAGTGACTCAAACTATAGGAAAGCTCCATTCCAAAAGCCAGTCAGACATTATTGTATCGGACAACACGGACATTCTCGATGGCCAATTCCAGGCGGTTACAATAGCGCCATTGATTGCTCAGTGATGCTGCCGTTCTAGCGCCAACCGGGTCCATCTATCATCACACAAGGTCGATGAATTGCTGGCAGCCCTTGAGCCCCAAAACACTCTTTTAACCATGACAGCAGCCTGCACAATGTTGATGCCGTGGGAAAACCGTGCGCAGGCATGTGATGTTATAGATCTCGGCCATGGCCACGGCCATGCTGCTGACAGCCACCTTGGGTGACTGCTTCTGCATGCCTCCCTACACCGCTTGTTAAGCGTTTATAAAACCAGCCGCACACTAGCATGGAAATTCAAATTGCTTTCTGTCCATGTTTTTTAGTGCGCAAATGGTCGATTTGTACCTACCCATTCAATGCGCCATTGGACCCGACCATGGAGATCACTTCACCGCCGTGCTTTCCCGGCGATCGCCTTTTGTTCGGGTAGAAGAGGGCATCCTCTGAAACAGTCAAGGTTGCCAGAGCACAGGCCACACTCACTTGTGCCACACCACGGACGGACATCACGGGCACCAATAGCACCACTAGTCACGCAACATATGCACTGCAGTTATGTCTTGCGACTATCCCATCTGGCGGGTAACATCCACGACTGTTCACGATTCAGGTACAAGGTGCACTTTGATCCTGAGTATTTCAGGTTGGAAGGGCGAGTCAAGTCGAGTTCCTTCAACACAGATGCGAGTGACTTACGCGGATATGATAGGCTTCTTTACAAACAGTTACATGTGATTACAGCATAGCTATTGCCCAAGGAGTGCATTGTTATTTTTTGTAATTTTCTGCATGTAAAACAAAGACACGCTACGGGTGTCATGTAAGTGAAAAATTATAACAGTACAGGTAAAACAAAAGACTACAAAGGGCTAAATCAAGCTGTGGAAAAGGAACTGCTAAGGCATGGACACGCTCACGTCTTTCAGGCTAGACCCAAAGCACTGGTTTTTTATAATATTTTGGGACGCCGCTAACATTCCCGCGTGCCTAGAATTTCGGCCCCTGGCTGTCTTGGAGAAGCCTGGATCCGAAACGCCTCAATCCAAAGGGTGAGTCCAGGATATCATGGGGTTCAAGGCTTATGGAACTCCAAGGATTTTCTCTTTTGGAGGGCTCTAGGCGCATGTCTGAAGCTGAAAAGTCAGTCAAGCCAAAACAAAAGCGGAAGTTGGAGTGTCAAACGCAAGATGCCGCTTAGCGCAACGCGTTTGGCGCAGCAGCGCTTGGCGCAGTAGCGCTTAGCGCAGTAGCGCCTAGCGCACAGCGCAGCGGTACTCGAGCCAACGCTTACGCCAGGAAAAGGAGGAATGGGACTCGGACTCACTAGAAACCATCCACGGATAGGAGCACGGTGATGTGGGACAGGCTGGCGGCCGGGCGGCGGCCAGACAAGGCCGTGGGCGCCGCGGGGACCAGCGGCCGCTGACACGCAGAGGAGACACCCCCGGCGGCGGCGGGCCGGACGGCCACGCGTCGCTTGAAGGCGGCGGCTGCGGCTCGGCCTGTGCTGGCGGCAGGGGCGCTCCCCGAAGCGGCGAGGACTCGGAAGGCGCGCAGGTCCGGGCGACGGCCGCCCCTCCGCCGGGAGGTACACTGCTGGCAGGCGACCCGACCGGGGACGCGGGCGCAGCGCTCCCTAGAGGTCCCGATTGTGTCGCCCCGCTACGCAGGGGAGACGGCGGAGGAGGGGTTGGAATATACCGCCCTCCTAGTGTCGGCTGGGGAGGCACGCCTGCGATGGCGGAGCCCGCCGACGACGCAGGGAACGAGCACTCCCTAGGCGTCGGCCGTGGGGGTGCGCTGCGCAGAGGGCACACCAGAGGAGACAAGGAAGGCGGCTGCCACCCAACACCACCGCGCAGGGTTGCTCTGCGCAGGGGAGCCGCCAGAAGCGACGCGGGGGCTACTTCTCCCCATTGAACGGGCTGTGAGGACGCTCCGCGCACAGGAGGCGTCCCGGCCGACGGCGGCGCCCCCGCCAGCCTGTCACGGGAGCACGCCGCCGCCGGGGAAGGCGGGGAGGCAGCGGCCGGCCGGCGCCGGCCCGGTCGCGGGAAGGAGAGGCGGCTGGAGGGGCAGGCCGGCACGGGCTGCAGCGTGTCGGCCGAGCAGCGCTGGTCCGGCCAGACGCAGCCGGGCGCCGCCGACCGCCGCCAGAACAGCGCGTCACCTGGTGGGCGCACAGCCGGCCAGACGTGGCCGCATCGCAGCGTCACACGTCGGACAAGGCAAGCTTTTTCAGGCATGGGAGAGCTGGAACGGAAGGCACTGTAACACTGCACGCTGCACAGTCCTAACGCTCCAGGTAACACTGTTTTCCTCTTTGTTTTTTAACGACTTTATTTGAGGACTATACCTTTCACTGCTTCGGGCTCAATCGTATAACACATACGCAGGAAAGGCTCGGTTTCATTTTCAGATGCTTTACAAATCCAAACAAGTAAACGAGACGCCAACTCACGTGACAGAATACTCTGCGGTCGACAACGCCTGGCACGACAGACGGGGCTTTTCACAACACGAACACGTGCGTCCTCATCAGGCGATAACAATCATCACGTACTCCGAATGTGCCCCGCTTTCAGGGGTGTCGTCCAGTCAGACGGCTCATCAGCTTTAGTGAACGGTAAAACTCTGACCTACTTTAGAGGACGCGACATCTAATGGAATGACTCGGGGGCAAGTAGGGAAGGGATGTGGCGTTTGAGACAGGTAGGAAAGGGAGGTGGCGTCTGAGACAAGTAGGGAAGGGAGGTGGCGTCTGAGACAGGTAGGGAAGGGAGGTGGCGTCTGAGACAAGTAGGGAAGGGATGCGGCGTCTGAGACAAATAGAGAAGGGAGGTGGCGTCTGAGACAAGTAGGGAAGGGAGGTGGCGTCTGAGACAGGTAGGGAAGAGAGGTGGCGTCTGAGACAAGTAGGGAAGGGAGGTGGCGTCTGAGACAGGTAGGGAGGGGAGGTGGCGTCTGAGACAAGTAGGGAAGGGAGGTGGCGTCTGAGACAGGTAGGGAAGGGAGGTGGCGTCTGAGACAAGTAGGGAAGGGAGGTGGCGTCTGAGACAAGTAGGGAAGGGAGGTGGCGTCTGAGACAAGTAGGGAAGGGATATGGCGTCTGAGACAAGTAGGGAAGGGAGGTGGCGTCTGAGACAAGTAGGGAAGGGAGGTGGCGTCTGAGACAGGTAGGGAGGGGAGGTGGCGTCTAAGACAGGTAGGGAAGGGGGGTGGCGTCTGAGACAAGTAGGGAAGGGAGGTGGCGTCTGAGACAGGTAGGGAAGAGAGGTGGCGTCTGAGGAAAGTCCGACAAGTGTCACCACAGCTAAATACCAACCGGTACCTTACCCAACCGATCGCACATACCATTAATAGGGTCTGAGAAAAAAGCTAGCAGCCGCAGGAAAAAAATACCCGAGCTACACCACAAACCGACGATACCACCTCCATCACGATCATAGAAGAAAGTAAGAACTACTATTGCAGTCATGTAATACGTCTCAGATCATAATCACGGTGAAAGAAGAAGCCATACATTGCGGTCAGAGGAGACCTCGACCCACCGCCGCAGTCAGAGGACTCACCATCGCGGTCAGAGGTGAGACGTCGACCCACCGCCGCAGTCAGAGGACTCACCATCGCGGTCAGAGGTGAGACCTCGACCCACCGCCGCAGTCAGAGGACTCACCATCGCGGTCAGAGGTGAGACCTCGACCCACCGCCGCAGTCAGAGGACTCACCATCGCGGTCAGAGGTGAGACCTCGACCCACCGCCGCAGTCAGAGGACTCACCATCGCGGTCAGAGGTGAGACCTCGACCCACCGCCGCAATCAGAGGACTCACCATCGCGGTCAGAGAAGAAGCCCGGGTAAACGACGAAATTGTTGATCTGCGGGCAGGGCTGGCGCAGGCCGTAGTGCTTGGCCAGGAAGGAGGTCAGCTTGTCGGACGGACGGTCGATGGCCAGGTGTGCCGGATGGACGCCTTCGTTCTGAGAACGCGCCGTCCCGACAGACACCGGTCACATGAGAGCCGCTGGGCTCCGGTAGACACCGGTCACATGGGTGCCCCGAGCCCGACAGACACCGGTCACACAGGCGCCACCGAGCCCTGATAGACACCGGTCACGTGGGTGCCCCCGAGCCCCGACAGACACCGGTCACATGGGTGCCCCCGAGCCCCGATAGACACCGGTCACATGGGTGCCCCCGAGCCCCGACAGACACCAGTCACATGGATGCCCTCGAGCCCCGATAGACACCGGTCACGTGGGTGCCCCCGAGCCCCGACAGACACCGGTCACACAGGCGCCACCGAGCCCGATAGACACCGGTCACATGGGTGCCCCCGAGCCCCGACAGACACCGGTCACATGGGTGTCCCCGAGCCCCGACAGACACCGGTCACACAGGCGCCACCGAGCCCGATAGACACCAGTCACATGGGTGCCCCCGAGCCCCGACAGACACCGGTCACATGGGTGTCCCCGAGCCCCGACAGACACTGGTCACATGGGTGCCCCCGAGCCCCGACAGACACCGGTCACACAGGTGCCCCCGAGCCCCGACAGACACCGGTCACATGGGTGCCCCCGAGCCCCGATAGACACCGGTCACATGGGTGCCCCCGAGCCCCGACAGACACCGGTCACATGGGTGCCCCCGAGGCCCCGACAGACACCGGTCACACGGGCGCCGCCGAGCGCAGCGATCAGCGAACGGTGAAAAAGCTGGCCATACACAGATGGCGTGGCATGACGGTACGCTGACAGTCAGTTACCCCAGCGGACAGTAGGCATTCATACATAGACGGGGTTCGTACTCATGACTTCCGTCGGCATGTAACTGCTTTCCACATGGAACATGCGGGGTAGGCGCGCTCAATAACCTCTAGGGGGAAGGCGGATTGATGAACGCAGCGTTTGCGAGTCATGAGTTATGTTCAGCTAAATCACCATTTACACGAGTTGTTATTGTACAGCGCATGCCGCGCATCCAGTTTGAGCGTACAACCAAGCATGCAACGGGAAATAAGAGTAATTTGATCCTCTTAGTAACTTGATAAATATCCCATATTTATTGTGCATGTGCGAGACCGTCCGTTTTGGGTGTTCTCGAACGTATACAATACGGTCGCATGCATGCTTCGATGCATCAAAAACCAATCCTACTGGTCCTGATGTGGTTTTTGCAGCCGAACCCAAGTCATATCGACCATATGAATTCGTACCACATGAACGTCCGTCTTTACAGAATATCCGCTTAGCTCCATTGATCAACTTTCATACTGAGCTCCAATGCCTGAAAACTTTTTTCAGGCACGTAATTGCCCTTTGAAGGTTGTTCATTCCGTCTTTCGGGGGTTGATTAACTACCTGCATACTTCCCCGTTCAGTCGCCCCTTTGATGTGTCGAAGCTGGAAAGTATTTTGTGTTGCTATACTGCGGCTCGGGCTTTGAGACTTAAACTTAAGTTAAACAGCATTTTCTTAAAACTATGTCCATTTCTATATCATAAGATTATTTTGGTAAGCTCGCTTTTAGAGGGAGTCTTCTTCAAACACAAGGATAAGGGTACAACCTAAATGTTATCCATGGACTGCGGTTAACCAGTTCTGTTGTGTATCATATGGGGCATCAAACGTTCCGCACTTCGCATTCAGTCGCATTCAACAGCCTTGGGCAAGTCTATCTGAAAGGGAAAGGTTCTCACTAAACCTGACCTCTCCCCCGTATGAAAGCATTTACGTGTATGTGAAACCCTAGTTCGCTGAACAGTTTCGGTTTCTTGGGTCGGATTTAGTCCCCGTTGGATTTTACAATGTTGGGAGTCGTACATCTGCAGACATCGCCCATCACCACGCAACGTGACATCGCAGTAACCAATAGCGATCGTAGTGAAGGGAAATCGACCTGTAGCTCCGGGTTGTTTGTTATTACGCGTGCGTTTACGGTATATTGAGTCTATTTCTGTTGTATAAGCCAAGCCTGCAATGTTTGGCTGTTTTTAGCCCGACGTTGCAACCGCTGTGCTGATTGTATCTAATCAGGACTTATGATGGAACCTCTCACGGCATAATGAGAAAGCTGTCGTGAAGAAGTCTTTTGAACTCATTCATTCTATTATGAGCATCAAGTTACTGTTGTTTTCCGAAACACAGGATCACAATGCTGCTCATCCAATTGGCGTCATATAATATTCACGACAAAGAACTGTCACATATTTATGGGATTTCCCTCCATACAATTGGCACCATTACGACACCATGGGCAAGCAATACCCAAATCATCCTTTTGTCATATATGCCCCCGCTTCGGCGTTCCAAAGTAACTATTTTTTGTTAAACACCTCAGAGGTCCATCATCATCCATGTTAGGCATGTCATGCACGCGTAATGACATCGCAAGTACATCCAGGACAACTTCAGCGCCTGCCACAGGCCTGAGCTGTAAATGCTGGAAACCCACCGGGCCGGTCCCGGGCATGCTTCAGCAGTTTCGGTCCTCGCCCGGGTGTGGAGAAGTCCCAGCCCACCGGTGACGGCTTCGGGGACAGTGAGACTGCTGGTCAGGACGGCCACGACGGGGGACGGGGGCGGGGACTGGCCCTCATCCGGGTGTGGGGAAGTCGCAGCCCACCGGTGACGGCTCCGGGGACAGTGAGACTGCTGGCTGCTGGCTACTGTGACCCACACGCCCCATCGGGACACGCTCCGGTGTGATGGCAGCCAGGAGCTCCATCACTTAGGTATGCACAATTTATCAGCCGGGCGGGAGCGTGGCTAATAGTACTGTTTTTGATATGTTCTATCGAACCACGGGCTGTCATATTGTTTGACACGCTCCACCAAGCACCGTGGTCCGATAACTCTTCGATGCCAAGGGAGGCTATGTAGTGAAAGGCTCACGCAAACAACCAAATGACACGCACATGATGCCAGTCCTCGAGGGGAATAGGGTACCGAAATACGTGTTTGTGCCACCCAATGTTCACCATTATTGGCTGCGCACGGATCACTGTTCGTAATTGTGCACTCTGGGCACGGTTACGCACATGCAAGCGAGCGCCCAGAACACTGGACGAAATCACGCGGGCAACTACAGATGTTGCTGCCCCCCTCCCCTCCCCTCCCCCGCCTAATTGCGAAATTCTCCACATCCCTGACCTGACTGTGTTGCAACTTTTACCGCAGCTCGGACATAAACATTTATACCCCCTGCACGCATCTATGGCACGCCGATCTAGTCACAAAACAAGTCAAATCACTAAAGTGGAGACGTGGCACAGGTCGCTTATGTCGTCCGCTTTACACCAGTGGCGCAATCGTCGACCGGGAAAACTCATGGAAAAATACATAAGATGGGGCATTGGACGTGTGATAGCACACCGCATTTTCAAACACATGCGGTTTATTGCCACCCAAACCTGGAACCTTACCCAACACAACTGCATCGGATGGAACTAAAGAAGAGTCTCCTCTTCTACCACATGAAGCGAGAAGGGGTCACGTAGAAGCACAAGAGCATACAACCAAACACCATTTGTGGGCAGAGAACAGCTCGCAGCCGCTCGCGGCCGGCCAGCGGCGCCACCGGCTCTGTACCTGCAGCATGGCGTCGAACAGCAGCCGGCCGTAGCCGTGCCGCTGCAGCGACTCGTGCACGTAGAAGTCGAGCACGCTCACGGGCAGCACCTCGTTCTGGCCGCCGGACGAGTCAAGGATAAACAGACGCTTTCTGCCCACCTTCAGGAAGCCGATGCAGACGTCTGCTCCCTCCACGTCCCTGAGGAGAAGACGGCCGCAGTCAGGGCAGTCACGCGTCCCTGTGATGGTGCAGGTGCTGCCCGCAAGGGTGGCACCTGGGGTAAGAGTGATCCTAGTAGTAATTCCCCACGACCTTGTCATGGTCAGGGTTCCGCCCGCGTTCCCGAGGCGGTAACACCCGCGTTCCCGGGGCGGTGACACCCGCGCTCCTGGGGCGGTGACACCCGCGTTCCCGGGGCGGTGACACCCGCGCTCCTGGGGCGGTGACACCCGCATTCGGGCGGTGACGCCCGCGCTCCTGGGGTGGTGACACCCACGTTCCCTGGGCGGTGACACCCGCGTTCCCGGGGCGGTGACACCCGCGTTCCCGGGGCGGTGATACCCGCGTTCCCGGGGCGGTGACACCTGCACTCCTGGGGCGGTGACACCCGCGTTCCCGGGGCGGTGACACCCGCGTTCCCGGGGCGGTGATACCCGCGTTCCCGGGGCGGTGACACCTGCACTCCTGGGGCGGTGACACCCGCGTTCCCGGGGCGGTGACACCTGCACTCCTGGGGCGGTGATACCCGCGTTCCCGGGGCGGTGACACCTGCACTCCTGGGGCGGTGACACCCGCGTTCCCGGGGCGGTGACACCCGCGCTCCTGGGGCGGTGACACCCGCATTCGGGCGGTGACGCCCGCGCTCCTGGGGTGGTGACACCCGCGTTCCCTGGGCGGTGACACCCGCGTTCCCGGGGCGGTGACACCCGCGTTCCCGGGGCGGTGATACCCGCGTTCCCGGGGCGGTGACACCTGCACTCCTGGGGCGGTGACACCCGCGTTCCCGGGGCGGTGACACCCGCGTTCCCGGGGCGGTGATACCCGCGTTCCCGGGGCGGTGACACCTGCACTCCTGGGGCGGTGACACCTGCACTCCTGGGGCGGTGACACCCGCGTTCCCGGGGCGGTGACACCCGCGTTCCCGGGGCGGTGACACCCGCGTTCCCGAGACGGGGGTTAAGCTCACGGACGAGCTCATATATAGTTTGCTACAACGCTGAACAGCTGCCGTTGTGTCATCGTCATGTCGTTGCAGTTTTTGACACAAAGATAAGTCGAGCAGGATATACGGGTAAACAAGACCACCGGCGGGCGTGGAGCTAGCTGTATGTAGAAACACATACACAGGTGAACCGTACCAAAGTCACGCCAATCAGACGCCAGAGTCCCGCCAATAAGTCACGCCAATCAGACGCCAGAGTCCCGCCAATAAGTCACGCCAATCAGACGCCAGAGTCCCGCCAATAAGTGATCGCCAGTGTCGTTAAGCGTTGATGAATGCGTGCCAGCATTCGATGCTTTTTTACAGCCTAGCATAACCAGGCTTTCGACGAAATAACAGCGTTCCTAGCTATTACGTCCAGCCGTGGCGTTCCCGACTGGAAGCAAAGGCCCTGTCCACGCCGCCCTCACAGCACTGGGGCAGCCTACGCTCTCCACATTGTCGTGCCGTGATGATGATTAGGGTTTTAGGCCGCGCCCACTACGATGGTTACTTTGCGTCCATTATTGCTAAATGATTAACCCGGCGTGCAAATTGATGAGAATTGTGTAGCACTTTGGGCCCATCATTGTTAATGACTAGCCCGGGGTGCAAGTTGAAGAAAATTTTACATCCGTGAAAAATGAAAACAGTTGGCCCCTAACAACCACGTGAGAGTCGTTGTCAAGCACATCAGGTACCGTAAGAGATGGAGTACTTTCGACTGAAATGAAGACGGCACTCTTGGGCAAACCCTGGACTTGTGTACAAAATGTGGCGAACGATGGATGACGCATTGCAAAGAGAGCATAACGGCCCTCTCCATCAAACATCACATGGTCGTGCATCGCCTGCGTGCGGCTGATTCGTATTCTGCAGAGCCAATTCTCGACGCGAATTGCGCTGACTCCAATGTCATACACCTAACTGTTTGATTCTGATTTTGATTTTGAATAGACATCTGCTTGATCATCTAAGGTTACTGCCCGTCAAGGCTTCCCCGTAGGAAACTTTTTTTATCCAGCTCGCTATGGCTGGGTTTGTTTTACGTTTCTGGTAAGAGAGAGAGCCGGCAACGTGCACTGGGCGCACAAGCCGCTCTTTTTGCAGTTGCATCTACAAGCTGGCTACCAGCGACGCCAACACAGCTTGGTATCCAACAGAGCACGATGGTCAACTCGCGCGATCCACTGTTGTAAGCCGAACTAAAATATCGGGTTGGAAGACGTTAAATCCGAAAGGCTGCTCAGAGTCCGAGGAACCAAGCGTGAATCGCCGTCACCAACTTCGACAAAGCAGAGTGCTTTCAGGATGGCAACAGGCTCCGATGCGTATACTGAGGCGTGCTTTGGCAACGGAAAGGACCGTGTGGCGTTTCACATATACGTGCAGAGCCAACGCTAGGACCGCCTCAGACAGCCGGTTGGTTGCCTTAGTGTCCTCTTGCTCCGCTAAGTGTGCCCGGTTGGCCTCGCGGTCTCCCCTGTCCGTTTCTTGACGCTCCAGCGTCTTCGTCAAACGTTCGCAAGCACTGCAAAGGGTGGCAGGCGGAGAAGAAACCGACGCAGTATCAGACGGAGGGGCGGTACTCGTGGACTCCGACCACGCCGAACTACCGTCCATCTATCATCCGCCGGCGGTCACGCTGGTGCCGAGGAGGCCGGCAGCACGGCGGCTGCCGACTGGTAGGTTGGTGGGAGCCAGGCTCGAGGGGTGCCGGCAGGGAGTCCGGCGTGCGGGTGGAGGGCACAACTGAAAGACCTAACGACCTCTGGAGTCCCACTAGCTGGACGGCAGTCATTTCCTCGGTCATATTGTTCTGCGATAAAGAATATTTTTCTTCCGAGGCATGCGACATTTTGCGGTGACTCGCATCCTACAGGTTTCGAGCTTCCTGGAAAGATCAGCTTAAGGAGATTTCCATCGACATTATTTTCTTTTGCCTGGCGTAGGCTGGACAGGCACAGTCAAACACGGTGCGCTGGGTGTAGTGGGCCCTGGTCCTTGTCACAGCTGACGCAACAACGCTGGTGAAATGCGCAGTTGTCGCCAAGATAGGCGGTAGGTGCTCATCGCCCGAACGCCGGAATGTTGCGACCATGAAGATTTGTAGAGCCGAACCGTTGACGTAGGAAAAAACGCAGAGTGGTGATTAAGCGGATGTGTCTTGACGCGGGCACAGCATACTCACATCTCCGAGGCTGTCTGACGATTGAATGTGAGAGGGATATTATTGGTAGGTGTAAGGTCCGCTCCTTTCCTGACCAGGATTTGACGCCAGGCGGTCACGGCAAACCGATAGCCCACCAATGATCTCATCCCCACTGATGTCGCCAAGGTCACAGCCGTTGACGACTCACTAGACTCCCTTGTGTTGTATGGAGTTACCGGCCAAGCCACAGTTGTGTTGTGTTTTGCATTTTCAGTTCGAACAGTGCATGCGTTACTTTAACTTACATAGCCTGCTTCGCCTCCCAGCTGCTGACAAACTTTACCTATATGCTGCCATCCGTAAGCTTTTCACATTTACTGATCTTTCTGACTTTGTCAAAGCCTTTCTGACGTTAAAATGATGCCAGGGAGCAAAGTTCCGACATCGTCACTGGAAAATGTGAGGAGTCGAGGACCGGCAACTACTCCCGTTGTGACTCTGTGTTAGTACTAACCGCCCTCCTTTCAGGGGCCGGATGTTTGTAAGGTTTTGAGATGTCATGCGATGCATGCAAGCGTTCGGCGCCGGGCACACCATCCACTTCAAAGCCCAACTGGGGGACAGCCCAACTGTCCCGAGGAAGTCCTGGGTACAAACTGAGAGAGGAGTCAATACACGGCCCTCTGGCGTCAATACACGGTCCAAGAGTCCCGGGGAGGTATCAACACACGGTCGCCTGCCGTGAATGGACGGTCCGAGTCTCAAGAGAGTCGCGGGGGCGAGCTGAAAGAAGCACCCATACACGGTCCCCTGTTTAGGCACTTCGCTCCTCAACACCGGGCCATTGAACGTGGGCAGGACGAGTTCTTCCCGAATGGGCTGGCACGGAAAATGAGCGCTTATCTGGTAATCGTAACACCGTGGCAGAACTTATGTCGCTTCATCTATTAGCTGACACAGTGTGATTCACGGTCAAAGCCGCGGAAGCGGTGCTTATCCTCAGCACTCGACATTACCGTATCAACGTCTCGAAACCTGTCGAAAAAGTCACAGTAAACACACACACACACGCGCACGGGCACGCTGGTATGCCGCCACCAGGTATGCCGCCAGGTATGCCGCCACGTCTCCTTCCTCAGCATTCCACGGCAATGGTCCAAATAACCAGCGTTCACTATCGCAACACTGTAATAGGCCTCGGTAGGAGTCGCGTCGGCCACGCCTTCCGGACACGTGGGCTGGCGAGACGGTCCCAAAGAGCGGAGAGGATGGGACCACTGTCATCCCAGCGCCCACGGCAGACCCTGCGCGCGGCCCAGGCGCGTGGCCGGCGACAGCACCGGGCGGACGGCGTGCGGCGGAGCCGGCCGTCGTATCCGGAACTCCACTCCAGCGGGACTGAGCGGCGCTCAGCACGGCAATCCACTCCAGCGGCACTGAGCAGCGCTGCGCACACGAGCCGCTCAGGCGCCCGCCGGCCGGCTGCGGCGGTCGCACCGCGAGACGTTGCCCGGCTCAGGGGCGAGGCTGCACGGTGTGGCGACCCCGGCGACAGACCGCTGAAGAACGGCGCTGGCTGTGCTACCGTTGTAGCAAAACACATGAGTGACGTTGCATAAATGACCCCAGATCATTGCTACACGAGCACCGACCACGAAATTCGTACCCGTAACCAATGTGCCCAGCACTGCAACTTGCCAAACTCCGCAGGCCAGCCGACCGCGAAAGCTTCACTAGAAACCGATCTGAGAGACGGATGGACAGCATCGCCGCAGCGACTGGCACATCGAGTGTGACGGCTCTCTCCCGCACCTGCTGGGCCTGGCAACGGACCCAGCCGGTGCC